CCGACAGCCCGCTCGCCGCGCTGGCAGCTGTCCCTCGCCCCGCCCCTGCCACGCCCCCGTGCGGGGCATGCCGGGAATTGTAGTCCGCGGCCACCTGGCCCGGGGGCCCGCAGGCCAGAGTAGGCTCCGAAGAAGGGGCTCCAAGTGGAAAGCGAGCCTTGGGAAGGAAACGCGGCTTCAGCGGGTTTGATAATGTCTGGAGAGCTCTAAAGTAAGCAAAATAAAATATGGTTCCTTGACTAAAGCATTTATCTGTTTATGAATTACAATGGACTATCTACTGCACACCTTGGTACATTCTCACACGAGACAATTTTATATCTTAAAACCTATGTGTTTTTTTAAAGAATTATTTTATTTAACTTTATTATTATATCATTATTATTTTTCAGTTTGATCAGAGAGAGACAGAGAGATAGAGAGGAAGTGAGAAAGCAAGCCACCAGGTCCGAGACTTGAACCGTGGTCGGCCATGTGGGAGTCCAGCACCTTTAACCACCACGCCACTTGCCGGCCCCAAAACCTATATTTTAAACTCACATCATTAGCTTATGCTCCTGATTCATTTATCCCGAGAGATTACTGGCCACCTCATTCAAACATCCTACAGGCACCTTAAACTCAGTCTTAAAAATTCAACTCTCCTTGTGGGCTCAAACTACTTCTCTCTGCCTACATTTCTGTCATCATCACCATCTATCAAGTGGCAGAAACTGGGGAATCAACCTTACTATTCCCTTGTAGTGTAGTGGAGACTGCTGTTATTTTGTTTGGGCTGCTAAAAATCCTTTTTTCTTTTAGGAATTGTTACTTCTCTCACCTTACATCCTTTGCAGTGCCTGTGGGACCGGAACTGGCCAATCTAAGTACCCCACCTTCCCGGACACAGCTGTGATCTGGGGATGCACACATGACCAAGCAGAGATGACCCCTCAGTGTCCTTTCCAGAAACTCTTGGTAAGAAAGAATCTTTCTCTTGGGGACTGTTTGGTTGCTGAAGACCTTGTAAACTTAACTCCTCAGGACAGAGACATCATAGTGACACGAAGGGGCTTGACTTTTCTGAAATGGTTTAGAATTAAGGCAGGTAGGGAGAAGAAATAAAGAGCCCCAATGGCCTCATTTAAATCTCTTGATCTAGCAGAGGTTCAATCATACAAACACACACCACCACCACCACTACATCTCTTTATTGGTAGATTCTTTTTTTTTTTTTTTTTGGAGAGATTTTCACTGTAGGGCGCGTGCGCTCGCCAGACAGACAGAGAGAGACATAGAGACAGAAAGCGAGAAATCACCCCCTGGGGGGATGGTCACGCCGCAATCCCTTCTCCTCCATTCTCCTCTCGGTATCTTGGGCACGCACGCACACGCGCCTGGCGTGAGTTTTAAGCCACCGGGTCCGGGACACGAACCGCGGTCGACTACGTGGGAGTCCAGCGACATGGCCATTACGCTAACTGCTGGTTCCCTTTATTGGTAGATTCTTAAGCAAGTATCTCTGACTTAACAAAAATTTTCTCTCTTATCACTTGTAAGCCTATATCTGCAAGTAGAGGATCCCCTTGCCTGTTTTGGGGGAAGGCTGGTACGTTTTGAAGGAATGGAAGGTAGTGTATTGCCTGTCCATCTCAGAGAGGAGAGGCTTGGCCTTTTTGGAAGGGGACAAAATAACCCTTTGGTGTTTTGAGTCTAGAAGAGGTACCAGACACTTCATGTCTCTGCCTGGAAAGTAACTGAGGGCCTAATCCTTCCCAAGACTGACTCTGGGAGAAGGTACTTCCTGTAGAAATGGAGAAGGATAGCGGTGCACAGATACCCACAGAGGACTTGTAGAAGGGGGGCAGGCACAATGAACCACCCCAGCACTGCAGGCCAGCGAGCAGGCTGACCCCACACACTGGCTCTCTGAAGCAGACCTTCACAGCTGCTGTGCCCCAGAGACACTGACTATGGTCTTTTGGTGATTGTGTAAGGAGGACATCCTCTTTGTACACACCAAAACACCTTCCTCTCCCACCCCGATAATACTCTTAGTTCCAATAATAATATAGTTGCCATTCTCCTCAGTCATTCCCTCATGATCCCTAAGTATTTCTTGGCCATCAATCTCAGTAGTTTGACTTGTGGGGCACATTGGTTTCTTCCAGGCTGGGGGCAGACAAATGGCGCCACTGTTATTTATCAAATAAGATTACTAGGAGAGGCACAGTTCCTTCTTTGATCTCGAGGAAAGAAACTGTTCCTTCTTTGTAATCTTCTTACAAAGAAAAATGTGTGGGTCACGGTACGTTCTCAAGTAAATGCTGAGGAACTGTATCTCATATTACTTTTTCCATTCCTGCCCCCTCAAAGGTATTTATATGCTTGCCATCTTATGATAATAAAACATTTTATATTCTTGCTGCTCTCACCCTTACGAGAAAAGAAGAGAGAGAGAGAGAGATAATGGTAGTGAAGGCAAAATGAGTCCGATATATGGCACACAAAAGGCTGATAATATTTCTTTCGATGAAATTAGAGTATGCTCATTTAAGATATTGTTCTTTAATCTGAAGAGTGATGATTGTGCCAGGAAAAGGAAGTATCTGTGTATCTGGATTACTTTGGAGGAATAAGATAAACTATTCTCAAAGCAAATGTTCATAGTCATTCTTCCTAAAGATGAGTGTGAACTGCTGCTGCTAAAGAATAGGTCTTTCATGTTGATGGCATGAGAATACATCTTTATGTTAACTCTTATTTTATGATTCCATATTTTTAAAACTCAATACAGAGAAGTCCTTTCATTCATTCATTCTCAATCTCATCTAGTCTTATGGCTGTGAATAGTATCTAGTTCTTTATACTCAGGATCTTCACATGTTCTCCTCCCATTCTCTCTTAAATATACTCCAATCAGGTTTTTGCTATCACAAATCAGGGAACCTATTTTTCTTAAGATCACCAGTGATGCCCCTTCCTAATCACAATACATGAGAATGTATTCTTCTTATATGAATTATACTCAGCTTCTAGTATAATTTACACTTTTGATCAATTGATCATACATTAATTGCATTCTACAAGCCATGCATTAGAGTAAAGATGATCAAGACCAGAGATTAGCATTTGGATGGGGTGACCAAAAACCGCAGTAAAGAGTGGTGTGTGCTATGATGGAAGTGTGTGTGCAAGGTAGACAGTACAAAGAAGTATTTAGATTAGAATGAGATTTTTGTGTTAAGATGATTCTTAACTTTTAAAGCATCAGGATAGTCCAGGCTGAGTTAACAGTGCTGTGATAGCACAGACGAATGAAACAGCCTTATGAATTAGGAGGCTGGAAGTAGGTCACTATAATTGATGCATAAAATACTGGTTGGTTGGTGGAAAAGGATGAGAATAGAGAGGAACACATGAGATAGGTTATAGCACATAAAAATCTTATAAGCTTAGCTTTTTCAAGGAAGTTAGAGAGAACAAGGGTATTAAATAACTCATGCCCTTGTGGCCCATTAGTACTTCTGGGAAAGGCTGTGGTAGAATGGGAACCCTCTTACACTGTTGGTGGGAATGTAAATTAGTTCAACTTCTGTGGAAAACAATATAGAGTTTTCTCAAAAATCTACAAATAGAACTTCCATATGACCCAGTTATTCTACTTCTTAGCATTTATGCAAAGAATAGGAAAACACCTGAATAAAAAGACACTTGCACATTCATAATTATTGCAGCATTATTCTTGATTCTAAAACATGGAACCAAACTAAGTGCCCCAAAACTGATCACTGGGTTGAAAAAATGTGGCACATATATACTATGGAATATCATATAGCTATAAGAAACAATGAGATCCTATTGTTTGACTCTAAATGGATTAATATAGAAAACTAACGTTTATTGAAGTGAGCCAGAGTTTGGAAGATACACACTGTATCTTTCAACTTGTACTTAGTGTCAAAAAAAGGAGAGAAATAACTCATTTTATCATTCTTTCAACAACTGTTCTTGCATGACTACTGCATGTCAAGCATTTTTCTGGGCACTGTAAATACATAGAGGTGATTTTTAAAAAAAGGTGTTCACATTTTGGATATAGCTTAACAATGTAGCTACAGGATTTACCAACAAACCTGATCGAGAGTGTGAGACGAACAAAGGGTGAAACAAGGATTTTTGTCTGGCCATTAGTAGGAAGATATTGCAATTAACTGAGTTGGAAGGATTGTAAGAAGACTAAGTTGTGGAGTAGAATTTAAAATTCTGTTTTATAACTGTCATATTTGAAACATTTGTTAGACATCCAAAAGGATTAAAAAGAGATCAGCTATCAAATATGTTGACTTAAAGTTAACAGGAGAGGTCAAGGTTATAAATGCAACTTTTGCAGTAATCATGTAGATACTATTCATAGCCTTAAGACTAGATGAGATTGAAAGTTATGGTAGATAGAAAAGGGAAGACATAGACCACCACATAGCTGACTCCATGGTTTGAGTCCTGCACTCCGCAGGTTGTAAAACATGCTGGGTGCATGTGTGTGCATGCCCAGAATCCCAAGAAGAGAATGGAGAAGAAGGGATTGTGTCATGGCCATCCCCCTGTGGATGATTTCTTACTTTGACTCCCTCTGTCTCTCTCCAGTGAGCACACATGTGCTATGGCAAAAATTAAAAAAAAGAAAAGAAAAAAGAAAAAAAAAAAAAGAAAAGAAAAGAAAAAGAAAGGGAAGATACTAGAATAGATCACCTAGGGTGAAAAAACTTATAAAACAGAAAAGATGTTAAAAAGACTGAGCCATGGGCTCTCCACCATGTAGAGGTGAAGGAAATGAGAAAACAACCAAAGTGGCTGAGAAAGAAGGCAAAGCAGAGGGGAAACCAACATGGTAGCCCAAAGTCTAAATGAATGAAAGTGCTGGAAGGATCAATTATATCAAATGCTGGATTGTCATGTAAGAATACATTGCTATGTACTGTATTTAGGAATACTGAGTAATTGATGATCTTAAGAAAAGTAGATCCATTGGCTTGTGATGGCAAAAACCTTACTGAATGCATTAAACATGGATGGAAGGGGGCCTACAGATGGTGTAGCAGTTCCCTCACTGGACTCCCATGTGGTCAGCTGTGGCTTGACTCCCAGACCTGATGGCTTGAAAGTCACACTGAATGCTTGTATGTGCCTGCCCAAAATCTTGGCAGGAGAATGGAGGAAGGGGATTGTGGCATGGCTATCTCCACTGGAGGGTGATTTCTCACTTTCCCTCTCACTATCACTGTCTCTCTCTCTCTCTCTGGTGAATACACACCCACTAATGCAAAAAACCTCTTAAAATAAAAAAGATGGATGGGAGGAAGAAATATGATCATTACTATAGACAATTACAGAGTTTTGGTGTAGAGAAAATAGAGGAAAGTGGTTAGTCCCATGGCCTAGTGGTCAAGGGACCTAGATCCCACATGGCTAACCAGTTTGGAGCCCAGATCCAATGACTTGAAATACTTGCTGGGCATTTATACATGCAGGCTCCAAATCCTGACAGGATGGAGAAATGGAAGAAAAGAGATTGCGCTGTGACCACACTTAATTTTCTCCCTTTCTTTCTCTCTCTCTCTTTCCAGCAAGTACACATGCTTTCTGGCAAAAACAATAATAACACAGAAAACAAAAAACAAACAAACAGTAGTCGAATATTTAGTCTTAGAGCTTTTTGTTTTTAAGAGGTGAGAAATAATACTCTCTTTGCATGTTGATAAAAATTTTGCAGTAGAGGAGAAATTAATATACAGAAGGTAGAGGAAAGAGTTGCTAAAGAAATTTCCTTGATTAAATCACAAGAGATATTATCTAATTTTAGGTGGAAAAACTTGCTTTGGATAGTAAGGGAAGAGAAGACAAATATTGTGGGCATGAACCTATGGTGCTGACCCCTCAAAGACTAGATTTAAAGATGCCCAAATCAGAGGAAGTTC